TTCCATAGAAACTGAGACATATGGTTATTCCAGAGGAAGAGTCTAAAGGGGCCATGAGTAGAGAGCCCTGAGTGTGGTCAAGGGAGAGTTCATGGTGTACTCAATGAATAAAAAGTCCAAGTAGGTTGAAGTACATTGAGAAGAATAGAGGGAGATGAAGCTAGGAAGATAGTCTGGCACTTGCCGTAGGATTGAATTTGTAGGTTCTTAAACATAAAGCTAAGACATTTGGAAATTTTTCAATAGGTGGTAGAGAGGCACAGCAGTTTTTAAACAATGAAGTGATATCATAAATCAGTGCTATCTGTGATGTGCAGAATGCTATGTTTTAGTCAGAGACTCCATGCTATAGCCCAATTCAGAGACCATGGCAGTAGTTTGAGGAGAAGATAAGAGGATCTGGACTGAGCCCACGCAGTAAGAATAGAAAGGGAGACACATCAGAGAGAAGGAGCCAAGAGTACTTGTCAATTGAATATGAAAGAGAACCTAATAAAAAGGGAAAGTCAAAGGAAGCTCCCAAGATTTTATGTTGAGGTGACTATAGGCATTCTATATTTGTGGGTTAGAGTGAGGTGGGGAAGGGAGGTGTGCAAATCTATATATATAAAAGCCAAGCAACTGAACAGTGGAACGACCAGAACGACCAGAACGACTGGTGGCTATAATGCACACTACGGCAGCCAACAGGCCCAATTGGGGGCGGGGCTGGCCAGCCAACTGCCCATGGCCCCTCCCCCTGCCAGCCCCATTCCTGACCGCCCTCTCCCCCACCCCAATCACTGAAGTGTGACCTTCAGTGATTCTAAGTAAGTAAACGCTCCCCAGTCTTCATAGACCAGGAACCTGAATGACGAGTGATCAGGAGGAAAACTGCTCATGGTCTGGACCATCAGTCAGGTGTCCAGGAGAGGTGCCCGGCACAACCACCATCTTCCTGCGTTCTCTCTCCACTGCTTCCTACCAAAGAGGGCAGCACATCATACCACGGCCTCTCTTTAGAGGGTTTGTCAGCAGGGAACTAAACTGCATTACCTGTCTAGGGAGAGGCTTAGAAACGGAAGCTGTAAGTGTCCCTGACTCTAATGCGCCTTTGAAGCTTCAACTCATCCAAAAGCCAACAGCAAATGTGTATACACCCTGCAAAGATTTTTGACGCTAATAACTCCCCCCGGCCGGCCCTACCCAGATTGGGGGCAGGCCAGCTGGACCCCACCAGTGCACGAATTCGTGCACCGTGCCTCTACTGCATATATAATTGGGGTCCTATTCTTATTGTAGTTTGGAAAAATAAATATAAGGTAGTAATGGTACTTCTGTAGTTTCACTTTGAAAATACTTTTATGTCAGGGTAGCTCAATCTGAATAAAGTTTTAATAGTTTCCTGATAAATTTGAGTGTGAGTAGCTTTTAAAAAAAATGGACTTTGATTTGGAGAGAGGGAGGGGAAGAGGCTTAGGGGCATATTTCTCTACAAGTTATCCTTTCTGGGACCCAGTGGGATGCAACCCATTTTTAGTTTGGAACAATGGTTCTTAGTGCTTGCTATGAAAGTATAAATGAATCTACCCAAGGAAATGGCACAGCAATGACAAGCCTCTAGCCAGAATATGATTCAGAAAGATTTCAACCAGGTGCTGGTATCACTCAAATTGCCTCAATAGCTGTCTTGAGAGACTTAAAAATTTAACCAAATTAAATCCTTGCCTTTTAAAAATAACTCATTTCTTGCAGAACATATAGGGTTGTTACAGATGCCCTGAAATCAAAAGAAAGGAACAGTGATAAGATGCTACAAATTCTAAAAACTTGAATTAAGCTTCTGCTATGTTCCTGACTCACAAATGCGCTTAAGCTATATTTTATATTTTGTTCAAATTCAGTTTTCTAAGTAGAATTTTTTTCTGGAAGGAATATGTCTGTAGAAAGGGGGAGAAACAGATGAATTAATAGAGAAAATGGCAGGTAATTGTCGTTATCTGAAAACGCACACCTATTTTTAAAAGGAAATTTTAAAAATAACAAAGGGAATCAAATCATAAGAAGAACAAATTAAAAATACAGTAGTAGTCTATCTAGAAAAACTTGCCTGCTTTTTGAGACTCTTGAATTTTTTAATTTATAATTCCACTCTGTTCAACATTTTTCTTTGCTTAAATAAAATAAAATAAACCAGTCTGGCCTTGGGGTATGGTCTGCTATTTTTCTAAAGCATTGTACCAGAAGAGAAAAGCAGACTTGAATATATTATCCTCCCGGGTCCCAGAATAGAATCTCAAACACCTCAAGGTGTGAATTATTGAGAGATGCTGTTCCACCGTTGTGAGAGACTGCTGGGAGGAACGAGTGTATGGGCACCCAGTCCCTGGTGCTGTAGTGCATCCTTGGTACCAAAAAGAAATAGAAATGTAGTATAAAACCGCATATGGAGCCATTACTTCAACTGATGCCCATTCCTCAGTGCCAGTAGCTGGGGAGTATGGGTTTTACTTTTCATCAGAGCTCTGCTGCTTTCCTTGTGTTCTATCTTTTGAAGTTGGCAGTTTCTTTTATTTACCTCCCTAGTATATATGTTTATTTCTCCCTGTGCTTAATTCATAACATTACACATATATAACATTATACTACTATGTAACACTAGGTCATTATAAGTATGCATTACAGTATATATTACATATTATGTAAATATACAGATATCAACATATAGCTATATATCCTGGCTGGTGCTTCTGATCTCCTCCCTTTCTCCCTCTTCCTGGTAGTTATGATTACACACAAGGGCTTTGACAACTCGAAGACTTCTAATTAAAGCACTGAAGTGTTCCAGTTTCCTCTCCTTTAGTCCCTCACCTGCAGGCATTTCTTATTAAGTGTCGTGCTATTTAACAACTGCTCTGACAGAATGAGAACCTGATCTTGAGTAGGATGTGTCAGAACGCATTTGAACAGTGAGAGATACTCTTCTCGTCCCCATGTGGATGTTTGCTTCCTTTTCCTTTTTATTGAATTATTGGGGTGACACTGCTCAACAAAATTATACAAGTTTCAGGTGCACAAGTCTACAACACATCATTGGTACACTGTATTGTGTGTTCACCACCTCAAGTCAAGTCTCCGTCTATCACCATTTATCCCCCACATATCCTCTTCCACCTCCCACCACCTCCCTTCCCCTTACCATCCCTGTGTTATCTGTGTCCATGATTTTTTTCTCTTTTCCTTTGTCCCTCCACCAACCCCTCATTCTAGATCCTCCCAACAGCTTCAGCCTGCTGTCTATCTGTGGGTCTGTCTCTATTTTGCTTGTTAGTTCATTTTGTTCATTTGATTCCACATATGAGTGAAATAATATGGTACTTGTCTTTCTCTGATTGGCTTATTCCACTTCGCCCAATGCTCTCCAGGTTCATCCATGCTGTACCAAAGGGTAAGATTTCTTTTTTTAATGGCAGAGTAGTATTCTATTGTATAATAGTGTATTCTATTGTGTAGTAGTATTCCACAGTTTTTTTATTCACTCCTCTACTTGGGCTGCTTCCAAATCTTGGCTTATGAAAATAACAGATTTTTACTTTCAGCAGTTGTTAACTAAAGAAAATCAGAACTCTGTTTTCTTCTTTTTATTATTATTCTTATAATTTTAAAATCCAAGTGAATTTTAAAATCCTTGGGTTGGATTTAAACAAATAATAGTTTGTGTCATGGGTAACTTTCTCTATTGCGAGGTAGGAGGGATGTGTGTGGAGTTTTAGATATGTCTAATTTGAATCTTTAAAGAAAACTGTAATCATATTAACATAAAGACTGAATGAAAAAGTTTTGGCATTAGAGACCCAGATATTTGCCTGCCTCTGTAGCTACCTCTCTCTCTTGGACCTTAGGTAAGTCAACTCACGTTACTCCCACAAACAACCTGATGGTATTCTTAGAAAATTTACAATGAAAGCAGTAAATGTATACAGGGCTTTATCAATGTAAGGTATTACTGTATATGTTACTGCACAATTATTATTCATTATTATTACTGCTACCACCTGTACAAACAGTGTGTAACTTCCACCTGCCTGTGCTAAATGATTAGAGCATATCCATTTGCCCTGAAGATTAAGTTTTTGTTATGAAAATTCTCATGGGCAACTTTTAATCCTGTCAAATAGGTTGATTTTTTTCTTTGCTAATAGATTTTTCATTGTTTCAAATAGAGAATGGTTGTATTATTTCTCACTTTCAAGATATAGTTTTTACCTTCCAGACCACTCAGAAGCTGAACAAGCTATAATATTGGGAATAGGAAATACTTTAGTTGAAAACCTTGACTATCCCTGCTGGAAGTTGGCTTGACTTGTGATCCCTAGCAAATCACTGCATCTCTGAGCCACATTTTCTCTAAACCTAATTTGATGATATCTAGCCTATAGGATAGCTGGGAAAATTATAGTTTTGATCATTAGAAAGTTACAACTCTACTTCCCTTAGAAAGTTTATGTAGCTAGTCCTTTATTTAATTAATATTACCTTTAAAATATGTCTATAGAAAGAAAATATCATGTTTTGGGGAGGCATGAAGATGAAAATCATAAAATTAAATAGTGTAAATTACAATTTCAAATAAAAACATTATTACTCGGTGTTGGTGTACTCTCATCCCTAAAAACATTTTACAAATAAAAACCAAGAAAGAATAAATACTAAGAATTCTGGGAGAGTTTCTTTCATCATGGAATTATGACCCCTTTCTTGCTGCTGTAGTCTTTAATTGCAGAAACACATGTGATCCGCCTTTTAGAATTATTGGATATCAAATGGCATATCATTATATTTTGTACAGTAAATAAGAAGTCATCTTGGACCCCTTTTAATTCTAATTTTTTTTGTCTTTAGGGGTTGTACAGATGTTCTGTGCTGCATGGTCTTCATACTGTTCATTACTGGCTACATTATTTTAGGACTTATAGGTGAGTAAATACAGGTATAAAATATATTAAACATTTGTTAATGGAATAACTAAGTCAGTGTCACACTTTTAACATTAATCAATTTCTTCCCGAAGCATCTTATTATTGATTGTTGACTTTTCACCAGGACTCACTGGGTAGCAGATGTAATGAAAAATAAACACAAAGTAGTTTATTACAAAGAAAACTCAAATTAGTTAAGTAAATCCTATATAATAAAAGCCTAGTATGCAAATTGTCCCCTCAACCGGGAATTGTCCGGGAGATTGACCAGGGGGCAGGGCCGGCTGGGGGAAGGGAGGGAGGCTCCAGCCAGTGGTGGCAGCCACTAGGGGCCCTACAAGTGCACAAATTTTGTGCACTGGGCCTCCAGTACAATTACAAAGAAGGAAGGAAAAGCTTATGGTTTCTTTTTAATCATTTTTACTTTTGAAATTCTATTAAGCAGCTAATTATGTTCATGTTGCTATTTACTAAGAAGAACTAGGGCCTAGATAGTTTAGGTAATATATAAACTTTTTAATAAGAAAATTAAAAAGAAGGGGCATTTTTTAAGGATTTCCAAAATATAAGGGAATATGCATAGGTTATATGCAAATATTACCCCATTTTATATATGGCACTTGAACATCAATGAATTTTGGTAAGCATAGGGGTCCAGCAAGCAATCCCTGTGGATATGGAGAGAAGACTGTGTATTATGATAATAGTAATAAAAAGGGGAGTTTGAAATGTAAAAATAAATTGATAAAGATATTTAATGTAATTTCAGTCTTCTTTCAAAGAGGGTTATTTTGTGATATGATGAAATCTAAACGCCATGTAGGGGAATAAAAAAGAAAAAAATATTTTATCTGATAATGCGTAACATGTAAGAAGTTTTATTATCCTTGCCTACCAGAAAGAGATATCCTATTTTTTATTATTAGGTTAAAAATTTTTCTACGGAAGTGAAAATAAAGAGGAAAAATACAGTTTCTTTATTTGGATTTTTAAAACACTACCAAAGGGACTGGTATGAATATTTTCTGTAAAAAGGTTTTGCAATTGCCTGTGAATTTATCACATTTTCTCCCAGAGACTCTAAGTCCTTTATATGTTGATCTAGGAAACTTTAACATATTATTAATAGGATGGGAGCTATAAAAGTCAGATAACAGTATACATATAATAGTATAATCATATTCTAGTGTCAATAACTAGTGCCTGGACTTAATGTGGAATGTATTAGCAGAAAGAAGGCTTGGCCTGCCTAGGGAACAATGGAAAATACTCTTTCCTACTTTTCAGTTTTATCTTCCAATAAGAGACATTTTTGAGAAAAGCAATTGAAAGTAATTTCCAGAAGATCATCTCGGTAATACCATGCAAAAACTACTTAGATTTGGAGAATTCAAAAGTAAGGCAGGAATATAAGGAGAAAAAGAAGACTAAAGGAGCATAAATCACAAAACTAATATACTCTAAGCCTTTAGAAGATTTCTTTGGTATTTCTTTAACCATTTTAAAGTCTAAACATCAGTGTAGTTGTAGCACAATACATCATCCATAAATTAAATGTTATAATAAAATTAATTTTCTTATTCTACAACTAAAGGAATGTTAGCTTCTCTAACTTTGGGACACATCTTGTTTGTGTAATTTATTTTGTTTTTACTTTTTGTCATAGAATTGAAATTCGTTGCATAAGAGTGGATTTGAAGTCAAGCAGATGTAGGGTTTCCTCCATTTATTTGGTAGAACTGGGCTAGTGTCTTAACCTCAGTTTTCTTATCTGTAAAATATAAAAACACCATCTACTTTGCAGGGCTATTGTGAGAAGTAAATGAAATAATATTCAGCTACACCAATAATGCTACATAACAGTAGTAGACAGAAGTTCGTTTCCTACTGTGTGGTTCTGAATTTTAATAAACTGCTTTAAAATGTAATTTACTCTATTATTTCTAAATAGCAACCCATAATTTGGGTTATTATAGTTTGAATGCATACAGGAACTTCATAAGGATCTTATACTGTGCCCAGAATCTTTTTATTAGGAGGCCTTATGGCTCTCCTCCATGTCTCAGAGACACTCTGTTATAATCCACAGAGAAATTCCTTTCTTCCTTACCTGGGGCTGGGAAGGCCACTGCCACTCCCTGTCCTGTGGAGACAGGAGAGGGAAGCACTGGGAGTGCTACCATTATTCCCCCTGGAGCGTGATAAGAAATTCGCCTTTTTCTTTAAGAACTCCCTATCAGTTTGTAAATGCCTCAATCCACATGAAATTAGAGGATAAATGTTCCTCATGCAAAACTGGATTAATTTAGTGATTCTCCCAAATTAATCCTGAGGCCACTGATCAAAATGAACAGCTCACCAAATTTACTAAATATATATGCTATCTTTACCTGAACTATAATAGCTTTACTAGTTTGTTTCTAAGATAAATTTAACTCTTTGGTTATATCTAATATTGGGCTGAAAGAAGAATGAAGGAAAACAATTGGTAGAGTTACCAGGAATATGAAGAATTTTTTCACATAAAGGAACATGTACCTTTTCCTGAGGAAAGATGATGCTAAGACCGTGTCACTGATAGTATATAGTTTGGCATCTTTAGCCATTTTGTTGGATCAGGACCTTTTTTAGGCCTGTCTTTCATCCATGTTTTGCAATTGGAGAGCTGTGTTTCTCACAAATTCTGCGGAAAAACTGATTTTGCCCTTATGTGGAATATGGCCAGCTAGCATGCAACAAAGGCACTTGACATTTGACTGATGAAAAGCAGAACCTCTATTCAAGTGGGGAAGTGGAGTGTGAGTAGAAGGTAATCAAATCTCCTTGAAAGATCAAACTAACATTTATGATAATAGCCCTCTTTTGTCCTACTTCACTGATGGTTGCTAGTCAATTATTTGCTAACTAGAAAAAAAGAATAGGAATATTTCTTATGCAAATTGTTCCTTGCTATCCTTGTGCTAACATTATATATGCAATAATAGCACAATTTTAGCAGTCAATAATTTTTTTTTCTTTTCAAATGGATTTCCAATTGAATGAGTTATTTCCTTGTTGCATTTAATGAGAAAGCACTTGGAGTTAGGGTCTAAAGTTTGTTTTGTTTTTAATTTTTCCTAGGAATAATTATTGCTCTTAGTTGAGACAATAGGAAGTTAACAAAAAAAAGTAAATTAATGCAAACTAGATTAGAACTCTCTCATCATGCCAAGAGCAGCCCAAGCCACATGGAGAAGCCACCTGTAGGGGTCTTGGTCAGCAGGCTCACTGAGCTCCAAGGGATAATTGCCATCAGCCCCGTAGGGCTTTCCGATGATTGAAGCCCCAGTCAACATCTGACTGCATGAGAGACCCCAGGGGCCCAGCGGAGGCTTCCCCAAATGTAGGACTCCCCAAATCATGAGCAAAATAAAATTGTTGATTGGGTGTGATGGGTGCAGCAAGAATAGATAAGCAGAACAACATTTAGTACCCGCGTAATAAGACCTAAAACATGGGTATGGTTTTGAAACCAGGTTCAGAAGCCAAATGGATTGTGAGGAGACTGTCGTGAGAGTTTAAAGGAAAGTGAGGAAAACAACTGGAAACAGAAGGGAATGGAACCTTATTATATACTGGTGAAATATTTGGCACACTGTTGCCAATGGCAATATGGGAATAGGAAGTGTGCCCAATGGGTTCAGTGATCTATCTAAATAGATCGATCATCCGTAGGAACCTCATCTACACCTAGACCTGACTTAGGTGAGGTGATGAGACCTTGAGCCTAGCTCCACTGAGCTCCCAGGCATAATTACTTTTATTGGAACAATAAATATAATGAAAAATTATGAAAAAATCATGAAAAATTTATGAAAAAATTATTATATTTATAGGTAATGAGAACTAGTGTTAATGTCCTTTTGCTTTCTTTACAAGTATATAATTGTTTTCAAATTAAAATACATATTTACACTTCTTTTTGGTTTAGAAGTCTTCATTTTAAAAAGCAAGCACTTCCTTTTGACTGTTTTTTGAACATATTTCTTTGTGTTGAGTGAGATTTTTACTGTTGTATTTTGCTGAATACATGAATTCCAGATGATTTCAAGTGGAATATTGCTAACATGAGAGTGACTGATTTGTGCCCAAGGACACGACCCCAAACTCACCATTGGGTGGAAGAGGCCACCTGTGAAATGATAAACAACATTTCTTATCCAGGCAACCGGATACAGGGTTGCTTCCAAAAATGCTCCCACAGCATCAGTGTCATCAGCACAGATTTCCAAATTCGGTATCATGTGTCCTATTATCTGCTTCATTGCATTTGTAAATTGCTTGTGTTAAAAAGCCATAAGCACAATTTGGCGGGCCTGTTCCTCACATATTAAAACAGTTAAAATGTACCTTTAAGGGATACAAAATAATGATTTGAAAGCCAACATTCCCGGACGAACAAGTGGTTTGGGAATGCTTTAGCTGCCCCAAACAGATTTGCAGTGAATTTTTAAGTGTCAGTGCAAGCAGTTGGCCTACTCCCATTTTCTCTTCGACAGAGGGCTCTTTAACTGCTGCCACTTCTGACTCAACCTCGGAGCCCAACAGGAACATGCTTTGCAAATGTTTGAAAATGAAAGATGATTCCAGATAATTATACTTGCCCCTGGCACTTGAGTAACACACGTTTCCTTAGTATGAGTGAAAGGACAATTTATCTGCGATGAATTACCCAAATTAACACACGTTTCCTTAGTATGAGTGAAAGGACAATTTGCCTGAATGAAGTTTTTACCCATCTCTCACCAATCTTTTCTTATCTGCGATGAATTACCCAAACGGGAGTGTTTTACAAATAATTTATCTTCTCTCCCCTCTCCCTTCTCCCCTCTCCCCTCTCCCTCTCCCTCTCTCTCTCTTTCTCTCTCTCTTTCTCTCTCTCTCTCCCACACACACATATCCTCTTCACTTAAAGTGGTCTTTTAAAGTTATTCTTAAAACTTAGAAAGTTAAGGGGA